GACAGAGACATGGACAAAAAGACAGGAGACAGAGACATGGACAAAAAGACGGGAGGTAGAGACATGGACAAATAGACGGGAGACAGAGACATGGACAAAAAGACAGGAGACAGAACTGGAAGTGTCAGAAATGAAGATGTTGAGGTTCTCCTTAGGAGAGACAAGGACGGAGAAGATCAGGAATGAGATGATCAGAGGTACAGCACAGGTTGAACAACATGAACTGTGGAAACACAAAACATCGTGACGTCATCGTTCCAACTATAACCTGAACTTCCTTCTTGTCGTGTCCTCGTTGTCTCCTCTGATCCCAGGAGTACCTCAACAGCATCCTGCAGCACGCCAAAGACTTCAAGGAGTATCACCGTTCAATCACGGGGAAGATCCAGAAGCTGACCAAAGCTGTGGCCACCTACCACGCCAACACGGAGCGAGAGCAGAAGAAGGAGAACGAGCGTATCGAGAAGGAACGAATGAGGAGGCTCATGGTAAGAAAACCCTGGAAGGTTGTTGTGCTCATGTCGCACGTTTATCTTTCCCATCTCTCTGCTCGTGTTCAGGCTGAGGATGAGGAGGGTTACCGGAAACTGATCGACCAGAAGAAGGATAAGCGCCTGGCCTACCTGCTGCAGCAAACTGACGAGTACGTCGCCAACCTGACGGAGCTGGTCCGAGCCCACAAAGCTGCTCAGGCCCTGAAGGAGAAGAAGAAGAAGAAGAAGAAAAAGAAGAAGGTGTGGAATCAAGAAGCGCAGAAGGCGTGTCCTGAGCCACGTGTGTGCACCTTGTTGCTGATGTTTCAGTGATGGAACACGTTTGTGTTGCAGCTGGAGAACGCAGAGGGACAGACTCCTGCTCTGGGGCCTGATGGAGAGGTGAGCACGTCTTCTGCTTGTATTTAGAGGTCACCTTCAGAGATGACGTCAACTTTATGCAAACATATAGGACTGTGTCATCGATGCTAATTCATTCATTGCTTTCTGGAGCTTTTAAAACAACTTTGATCACAGTGAAACTGAACTTTAAACACAAGTGCACGGCTGTATGCCATGAAACGTGTTTCCTAAATGAGCTGTCTACAACAGGTCACATATGAATTATGTAAACCTTTCCCAAACATATGTTGTTCTTTAAAAGTTTAAAACAAAGCTTCGCTCATCAGCTGCAATACGTAATATAACGTTTTATATAATGTCAGAGTCTAAATGTGTGGCTCAGTCCGCAGAATGAAGTGGGTGGAGTTTAAGGCGGAGCTAAAAACAGCAGCTGTATTTTACCACTTTATTTATAAAGCACTTAAAATCAGCAGCAGGTTAGTGGGGACGCTGTTGTCTCTTAATGGACCCACCTAACCTCCGTTGATGATTCAGAGCAGGGTTGGCCAATCCTGGTCCTCCAGGTATGGTATGGTATAAAGTTTATTCATTTTTAAAAAGTACAAAACAATTCCATAACAATATAAAAAAGATACAAAAGATTTAAAATGAAAGGCAGCAGAAAGAATAAAAAATCTTATTTTATCTGCCCCTTTTTTCAAACAATTAGTTCAATCATAATAATTTTCAAGTAACAGAACAAAATGAATAACTTTCTAATTTATCTAATTCTAATACAAAACACACACTAAGCTACTTCATATATACTTTTTTAACAATTCAGCTTTGATCTTTTTCTTAAATGTACACATTGACTTGACATTTTTTACATCACTCTCTAGAACATTCCACAATCCAACTCCTTGGATTGAGGTAGACCTTCCCTTCAGACTAGTTCTGAATGTTGGTTTGACAAATATCTCTATCCCCTTAAGATTATAACAACTTTGTCTTTTAACAACATTTCTTTGGATATTTAATGGTAATGTGTTATTTTGAGCCCTATACAGAACTGATAAAAGAGGGCCACCATCCTGCAAGGTTTAGAAGTTCATCTGCTTTGACATCTGATCTGAAAGAATGAGGGATTAACAGGACAGTATGAAGGCTTAGTGGTTAGCACTGTTGCCTCTCAGCAGGAAGGTCGTGGGTTCAAGCCCCAGCTTGGACCTGGGTCTTTCTGTATGGAGTCTACATGTTCTCCTCGTGTTTGCATGGGTTTTCTCCGATGACTCCAGTTTGCTCACACTGTCCAAAAAAACCCAACAAAATTCACCCAAAATCAAAATATTCTCAAAGAAAGACTTGTTTCTTCATTTTATGTGAGGTACTGTGTGTTGCTTTTACCTTTTATCTTGAATTAAGATTGTACTTGAATATTATGCTGTTCACTGAGGAATCATTTCATCTAGACCAGGGGTGTCCAATACGCCGATCCAAAGGTCTTCTGGGTAGATGCGTTGAAACCAGACGTCAGCCGATCATCATCCATGAAGTTTGTCTCTTGATTGACGGACAGGGCAGCCAGTCTGAGCCTCGTTTACACGACGTGAAACGTTCATTTACAGACGACGTCCTCATCCTCTCTGAGACTGAAGGTTTCTGAGTCCAGGTCTCAGAGCGGAGGTTTTCAGGGAACCCCCCACGGAGGAGTGAAAAAAGTAGCACATGCACACTCCAGGTGGCTGCAGTCCAAAGTTTTTCTGCTCAAACAACACTTATAATAAATAACAACACTTATAATAAATAACAACACTTATAATAAATAACAACACTTATAATAAATAACAACACTTATAATAAATAACAACACTTATAATAAATAACAGTTATAATAAATAACAACAGTTATAATAAATAACAACAGTTATAATAAATAACAACAGTTATAATAAATAACAACAGTTATAATAAATATAACAACAGTTATAATAAATAACAACACTTATAATAAATAACAACACTTATAATAAATAACAACACTTATAATAAATGTCAGAGAGCAGAGTGTTTTTATTCTGCTCACCCTTTTTCAGCTTGTATGAATAAAGCTTAATAAAGTCCAGGCTCCAAAGAGACGTTAGTGTCTTCACCAGTTTGGACTAACTGTCATGCAGATGCTGCATGCACCATGAATGCAGCTGAGCATCAGGGTTGCCAGATAAATGTAAAATGTTTTTTACCCCCTCCTTTTCTGTGCACATGTTCAACAAACACAACACCTCATCTTAGAACATCTTTACTCAGCACATCTGACAGTTTAGGTCAAAATACTATCATTTTAAAGCCACAGTACTATAGTTCATCATTTCTTATCTGGCAACGTGACTAACAAGGAAAATACAGTGTTTTTCATGTAAACCCGCTCATTTTTTGTTTAAACATTGAAAAGACACTAAAGTTTCCAGAGGCTGTTCTGTGTAAGCGGGGTCTTATAGCAGGTAGATCACTTTGACTTGGTCATTGTAAAAGGAGCTCCATGATGAAAACATCTGGCCGCCCTTGGTCTAGATGTTTTAAAGGAGGGTGGGAGACTTCAAACTCAGTATTAACTAAAGAAGAATGTGGTTTTGTAATAGAAGTAAATTATTACACTGTACATGACTAAATTTTAAATCAATATTTGCTCATTGCTGTTTGCATATTCTGCCAGCTGATGGCCGACACCATTTTAACCAAATAACTCTGAATCTGCCCCGTCTCTGTCAGATGTTGAAATTCAGCTGAATCGTAACGGTTCTCCTTTTGCAGCCTCTGGATGAGACGAGCCAGATGAGTGACCTGCCTGTGAAGGTCATCCACGTGGACAGCGGGAACATCCTGACCGGTGTGGACGCTCCCAAAGCTGGACAGCTGGAGACCTGGCTGGAGATGAACCCTGGGTGAGAACGTAGGTTGCGTATTGTAACCACAGATTCTATGAACGTGGGGGCAGCCCTTTAACAAAAGTCTCAACTTTGTCCCAGTCCAGGAGTGCTCCCAAAGGGGAAACTTTACATTTTAGCTCACTCTTTACTCTTGAGGTAAAATGCATCAGCTGAAGATATGATTTATTCTTGTATTCTGATTAAATTTGTATTTTGATTTGTGTGCAGTTTGAAGGCACAATATCATTGTGTATAATATAAAAACAGAACCTGAACAGCAGGGTGGCGTTTGGTTCTCAAGCGTTTAATAGATTCTAAAGTGAGCTTAGATTTTCATAATCCTTTTTTATAATCAATTTTAAGACAGATTCCCAGACAGTTTTCACACTTGATGGGAACAGAGGGGTCTCATCTGTGAATTAAGCCCCCAAGTACACTCCTGCGTACGTCCATACGCAGAGGTACGCACGTACGTACGCAGAGGTACGAGCGTACCCCCTAGGGCATGTCCGTGCAAAGCTCAAATTTTTACGACTGCGTACGCGGCGTCGCACAATAAACTGCCCAGCGACGGACTGTTTTGTTGCGACACCAATGCATTAAATTCCCCTTCTTCATCCTGATCTGGCCTTTTCTTTAGTTTTTTGCCAAGAGGCAGTGATCTCTTCCTCCTCCGTTGATGCCATGACTGAAATGGTGAGAAATGAAGGAATTTGTCACGAGCGAATTAAACTCAGGTCCATCGTGGCTGCGGGAGGGTCTGGAGATTTCCTGGTGGGCTGGTCTGATGTGTGGACTGCAGAGCCAGCGCTCCCTGTTTTTTTATTTATTTTTTAGATCTTTTTATTAACAACATATAAACACAGCACACCGCTGCGGCTGAGGCTGCCAGCACTATTTTTTCCGACCTGTCAATCAGTCCAGTAGGCGTGTCAGCAAATGACCAATCAGCGACCTCAATTTGTCCTGAAGGTGGACAGCCCCTCGTCTGTGAAGCTGCTCGGGGTGGACGCTGGAGTGTCATGTCTGAACCCTCTGCGTAGAGTACACGCGTACGTACGCGTGAACGGACGTACGCGGCAGTATACTGGGGGCTTTAGAGTAACTAAGACTTTAAGAAGCCCCTACTGTTAAGGTGTTTAGGTGTGAACTGCCAATCTACATGTGTGTGTGTGTCTTCTCTCACTCAGCCTTATAACCTGAACCTCTCACTCTCTGCTGTTTGAATTGAGAAAGCTTCTGGGGTGAGGAGCGAAACGTCTTCTGTTACCAATAAAGTCCAGTTGTTTTTGTATTGAACGCTTTTTGAATAATCCTTTTTATTTACCAAAACATGAAAGTTCATAGAAGGTTGTCAACAAATTGCAAGCAGGTACCGTTAAATACGATGCTGACATTCCCTCTTCAAAGAATGAACTCAGCTAAACTCAGTTATCTTAAATTACCGTAACATCATTTCAAAATAAAAACACGTGCATGTTGCATGTATGCATTCTGGTGTGTTAAATTAATAATTTCTATAAAGTTAAAGTGCTTAATTTATTTTAAAAAATAACTGTCTGCATGTTCACATTTCAGTTCTCAATGCATACCGTGCTAACAGCTATAAGCTAAAGAAGCTAAATTAGCCTAATGTGCTAAACCTTACATACAATATAAAGTGACCGTGGCAAACCTATCATATAACACTTTTTAAAAATTGTTTTTACGTACCTGCACGTTTAAACACAAAATTTGGCTCAACGTTTACTTGTATTCTAACTGAATGCTAACTGTATGTTATGTAGCGAGTCCGATATTTTTTTATCTTAAATGGCTTCCTAAAACATTTGTAGTTATCATCTTACTGTATTCTATATTAATTAGTTGTAATAATGTGGTTATATAATTAAAAATGTAATTATTATTATTAATATTTGGCACATGCTGTATACCAGTAAGCTAACTTGTTAAACATTAAATGTTTAACTCCATTAAAATTTGTCAAGAGTATAGTAGACTCTTTTTATTCATATATAATGACAGTTTAAGCTTTCTTTTAATGTTGCAAACATTAACTTTGTGTTGCACCGTGTTTGATCAGGTCTTGTTGCTGTGCTAACATTTGTCTTAGCATGCTAGATGAACTCCTACATGTGTCCAGTTAACCCTGTTTTTGTCTGTCCAAACAGGTCTCACTTGTAAATGAGTTTTTGAGGCTCAACGGGATTTATCTGTTTAAATAAAGGTTGAAGGAAAAAAAACTGCAAGTTCTTTGCTAAAATAAAACGCTACACTAAATGTTCACTTAAAATTGTTTTAAGTTTTATTATGCCCCAACTTCAAGTTAGACTGATGAGCTGCTGAAGCTTTAGCCTCTGAATTACTGTTGATGAATAAAAGATGAGTAATATACAGTTCTAGCTTTACGGAGAGCTTTCTGATACGTTAGCAGGCCATCTATGAATGGTTGACAACATTTTGGTCCTCGCTCTAAATTTGAGAGCAGCTGTTTTATTTTTAGGTTTCAGAACATTTGATTCTGTTTAGCCCAACTTTTTGTCCCTGCTGCCGTAGAGCTGACCTCAAAGCCAATCTGAAACAAAGAAGGTAACTGCATAAGTAGGCGAAAAACGTTTAGGATGTTCTTTTTCAGTGTATTTTGTGTATTTGTACTTTAGTTACGAGGTAGCTCCACGCTCAGACAGTGAAGACAGTGAAGATGAGGAAGAGGAGGAGGTGGGTTTTATTTCAAAAGCTGCTTTCATGATCGTTTTTTCCCGCGAGACATGAGTTACTTTCTAACCGACGAGTTGTTTGGCAGGAGGATGAGGAGGAGTCTCAGCCTTCGTCAGCTCCAGTCGAGGAAAAGAAGAAGATTTCAGACCCGGACAGTGAAGATGTGTCAGAGGTGGATGTCCAACATATCATTGAGTAAGTTTAAATACAAACTACAGTATCTGACTAAACCTGGCTGTTTTTAAAGTAAATCTTATTTTGTGTCATACACAGGCATGCCAAACAGGACGTGGACGATGAGTACAGTGGTGCAGCGTTCGCTCGAGGACTTCAGTCCTATTACGCTGTGGCTCACGCTGTCACAGAGAAGGTGGACAAACAGTCCACTCTACTGATAAATGGGCAGCTTAAGCAGTACCAGGTAAACTCTGTGTTAATTTACTTTATTTGGCACCACTAATGCTATTTCTTTTGCTAAATGAGGTCAGTTTAAACAAAGTTATCTCTTTTTATATCGTAATAAATCAATTGTTGCGTTACTTCCTTTGAGATAAAACTCTTGTGTTTGTCTTTAGATTAAAGGTCTCGAGTGGCTGGTTTCTCTTTACAACAACAACCTAAATGGGATCCTGGCTGATGAGATGGGTCTGGGGAAAACCATCCAGACCATCGCTCTCATTACATACCTCATGGAGCACAAACGGCTCAATGGACCCTACCTCATCATTGTACCCCTATCGTGAGTTAGCCTTTAAAACCAGAGGGGGTATTTAAATAAAATAAAGACCTTTGAACGTCAACGTGTCTCTCTTTGACAGAACTTTATCTAACTGGGTGTACGAGTTCGACAAGTGGGCCCCGTCAGTGGTGAAAGTGTCCTACAAGGCGAGCGTTCACGTCTTTATTGCACATAAACACAATATGTTGTTGCGTTTTGTGGTCATAAATCTATTTTCCGTGTGCTTTAGGGGTCTCCTGCTGCTAGAAGAGCCTTTGTCCCTCAGCTTCGCAGCGGCAAGTTTAATGTTTTACTCACCACTTATGAGTACATCATCAAGGACAAGCAAGTGCTGGCCAAGGTAGGAAGCTTTACAAAGGCAGAGGCACTAACAGACCTGAAGCAACTCTCACTCACTGCAGTTTCATGTTTTACCTATTTTTACATCTATTTTATTACATTTTTTTAAATGTAGTTAGTTTTACTGGCTCCCATAATCCTCTGAAAACGTTTGAATTGGGCCAGTCTGACCTTCCCGCTCTGCTGCGTGTCAGTGCTCTCTCCTAGGTCCTGCAACACATTGAGCCAGCCTATAACCCTGTCCCCCCTGTCCCCCCTGTCCCCCCCGTCCACTGTGACCGTCTTGCTGCTATGCACTCATGTTGTCTTGTAGGGTCCCTGAATGTGCTGACAGGTGGGTCAGCAGAGAGTTTGGGCTTGGGACTTAGGCCAGCTCGAGTCTTCAGGGCAAAGTGGACAAGCAATCGTTCTTTAAAGCAATTTCTGCGTTCTGTTAGTTTGGCCTCACATCAGCAGTAAATCAAGATGGCGACACTAGCACGACTCGTACGCATTCTTCTGTGTCCTCTCCAGATTCGCTGGAAGTACATGATTGTGGACGAAGGACACCGTATGAAGAACCACCACTGTAAACTGACCCAGGTCCTGAACACCCACTACCTTGCTCCAAGACGAGTCCTGCTGACCGGGACTCCGCTGCAGAACAAACTACCTGAGCTGTGGGCACTTCTCAACTTCCTGTTGCCCACCATTTTCAAGAGCTGCAGCACCTTCGAGCAGTGGTTCAATGCTCCTTTTGCCATGACTGGAGAGAAGGTAAGCCGAGGCTGCAGAAACAGGATAGACACTGTTCACCAGGTGTTTTAAGAAATATGTTTAAGAGATTTTTTAATCTGCCTCTTAAGGTGGACCTTAATGAGGAGGAGACCATCTTGATTATTCGCCGCCTACACAAAGTGCTACGCCCCTTCCTGTTACGGAGATTAAAGAAGGAAGTGGAGGCACAGCTTCCAGAGAAGGTAAGGGTGCAGACAACAAACAAAGCTTTAGCTACAGAGGATGAAAAGTACAGCTGATGTCAGACTGATGGCAGGTGGAAGTATTTAATGGTTTATTTAAACTGTCCTTTTTCCAAAGTGGAGGATTATCCAACCAAGAAAAACAAGAACACGTTTGAACATGTTGGATTTTCTCTGATCCACTCAAAGTCTAAACCAGAGGTGTGCTCTGAGTGATGATAAGTGATGATCCTGATTCAGTGATGATCCTGATTCAGTGACGATCTTGATTCAATGACGATCAGTGATGATCCTGATTCAGTGATGATCCTAATTCAGTGATGATCCTGATTCAGTGTTGATCCCGATTCAATGATGATCCTGATTCAATGATGATCCTGATTTAGTGATTATCCTGATTCAGTGATGATCCTGATACAGTGATGATCCTGATTTAGTGATGATCCTGATACAGTGATGATCCTGATTCTGTAATGATACTGATTCAGTGATTATCCTGATTCAGTGATTATCCTTATTCAGTAATTATCCTGATTCAGTGATGATCCTTATTCAGTGATGATCCTGATTTAGTTGTGATCATGATTCAGTGATGATCCTGATTTAAAGATGATCCTGATTCAGTGATGATCATGATTCAGTGATGATCCTGATTAAGTGACGATCCTGATTCAGTGATGATCCTGATTCAGTGATGATCCTGATTCAGTGATGATCCTGATTCATTGACAATCCTTATTCAGTGATGATCCTGATTCAGTGATGATCTTGATTCAATGACGATCAGTGATGATCCTGGTTCAATGATGATCCTGATTCAGTGATGATTCTTTTTCAGTGATGATCCTGATTTAGTGATGATTCTTATTCAGTGATGATCCTGATTCAGTGATGATCCTGATTCAATGATGATCTTGATTCATTGATGATCCTGATTCAGTGATCATCCTGACTCATTATCGATCCTGATTCAATGACGATCTTGATTCAATGACGATCAGTGATGATGCTGATTCAGTGATGATCCTGATTCAGTAATGATCCAGATTTAGTGATTATTCTTATTCAGTGATGATCCTGATTCAATGATGATCCTGATTCAGTGATGATCCTGATTCAATGATGATCCTGATTCAATGATGATCCTGATTCAGTGATGATCCTGATTCAGTGATGATCC